GGGGCGTATTTTTATTTGTGTGTATTTATTTGTGTGTTCTGGGGCCCCTTTAGCAGACCTCCTAGTAGTTGCCTCCCGAGCACCCCGGCGCTCGGCCTCCTGCCCCTCGACTCGGTCGTGGCGGGCCCGCCCCCGCAGCGCCTCCTCCCGTCGTCCCGCTCGCCGGCCCTCCGCCTGCCTGCCGCCGCCGCTGCCGTTTCCTCTGTGTGCTCACTGGTGGCTCTTTGATCTCTCCGTGCTCCCTCCCAGGGCTCATGGTGCTCCCTCCCAGGGCTCACTGGTGGCTCTTGATCTCTCTCTGTGCTCCCTCCCTCCCTCCCTCTTGGTCTCTCTGCGTGCTCATTGGTGGCTCTTGATCTCACTGGCGGCGATGATCGCCTCGGCGCGGACACGTGACCCAGAGCGCGCGGCGGCGTGACGAGGGGCGGGCAGTCTCGGCAGGTGGACGTGCGTCTGCCCTCTCGGGGCTACCTCTTCGATGCCCCCTGCGGCAGCCCGAGTGGGCCGTCGGAGCTTCCAGGGAAGGCTTGCGAGCGTTGTCCTCCCGCATTCGGAGGCATCGTGGTGGGGCACCACGGTGCTCTCACGGACGGACACTGCGGTGCTCCGGCTGCGGCGCAGCTCCCGAGCGCTGCAGCAGACCCGTCTCCGTGCCTGCTCTCGTCCCTGCTTCCCGGGGCCCGAATCCGAGACTGGACCGATGAGGCCAAGTTAGCGACCGGCCCCCCACCGCCGACACTGTCCCGTCATGGTGCAGAAGAGACGCGCCTTCTCTTTTTCCCCCGTTCCTTGCCCCACTCCGTGCTCCTCCCCTCCCTTTCCCCCCCCCTCTCTCTCCCTCTCCGCCTTCCCCCTTCCTCGTGGGCGACGAGCATATCCGCATCCGCGGCCTCGCGGGCTGGGCCCCCTGGGCCGCGACCACGCGGATACGTTTTTTTGTTCGCGGATGCCCCGCGCGGAACGCATCCGTGCGACCGCATATCCTCGGGATCGCGCCTCGGAATCCAGAGCGGATTGGATATTTCGCTGCTCGAGATTTTTCCCCCCTCCCTTCCCCTCCCCCCTCCTTCTTCCCCGCCCTTCCCCTCTCCCCTCCCTGTCTTCTCCGCCTCCTCCGGTGTCACGTCCTGCTCTGTCTTTCTCTTCTGTTTCCGCCTCCTCCGTCGTTCTCCCTTTCTCCCTCTTCTCCTCCCCTTCCCCTTCCACTTCCCCTTTCTCTTCCCCTCCTCCTCCCTCCCTCCCTCCCTCCCCCCCCTTCCTCTCCTCCTCCTCCTCCTCCTTCTCCTCATCCTCCGTCTCCGCCTCCATCACCGCCTCCCCTCCTCCACCCCCTGGCCTCCCAAACTTCGCCTAGCGAAAGACCCAACCATATGCAGCTGTGAGTACCGTCGTTGTGAGCATCGCCTTCGGCGGATCTCCTTCTGGGGACACGAAGCGCGTGCAGGGTGTGCCGAAATGTGGCGGTGCCGCCATACGGGCGCTGCCAACGGCGCCGTAATCCCTATGGGGCCGCGAATGGTGTGAGGTGTGTGTGTGTGTGTGTATGTGCCGAAACATGTGGCCACCGGGGCATTCGGTGGGGTCCCCTGTGGGGCCATGAAACGTGTGAGGGGTGTGCCGTAATGGGTGGCTGGGGCGCATGCGGGCTGCGCCACTGGGGCCTTCGGTGGAACTCCCTATTAGGCCACGAAGCGCATGAGGAGTGTGCCGAAATGTGTGGCTGGGGCGCATGCGGGCTGCGCCAGGGGCTTGCGGTGGAGCTCCCTGTGGGGCCACGATGGGTTTGCTGAAATGGCTGGCTTGGACGCATGCGGGCTGCGCCGCTGTGGTCTTCGGTGGAGCTCCCCTATGGGGGCCACGAAGCGTGTGAGGGGTGTGTCGAAATGTGTGGCTGGGACGTATGCGGGCTGCGCCACTGAGGCCTTCGGTGGGGCTCCCTCCGACGCCACGGAATGTGTGAGGCATGAGCCGAAATGTGTGGCTAGGGCGCATGCGGGCTGCCCCACTGGGGCTTTCGGTGGAGCTCCCTATGGGGCCACGAAGCGCCTGAGGGGTGTGCCGTCATGGGTGGCTGGGACGCATGCCGGTTGCGCCACTGGGGCTTTCGGTGGAGCTCCCCATGGGGCCACGAAGCGCCTGAGGGGTGTGCCGTCATGGGTGGCTGGGACGCATGCGGGTTGCGCCACTGGGGCTTTCGGTGGAGCTCCCTGTGGGGCCACGACGCGTGTGAGGGGTGTGCCGAAATGGGTGGATGAAACGCATGCGGGCTGCGCCAGGGGCCTTCAGTGGAGGTCCCTATGGGGGCCACGGCACGTGTGGGTGGTGTGCCGAAATGTGTGGCTGGGACGCATGCGGGCTGCGCCACTGGGGCCTTCGGTGGAGCTCCCTATGGGGCCACGACATGTGTGAGGGGTGTGCCGGCATTGGTGGCTGGAACGCATGCGGGCTGCGCCATTGAGGCTTTCGGAGGGACTCCCCATGGGGCCACGAAGCGTGTGAGGGGTGTGCCGTACTGGGTGGCTGGGACGCATGCGGGCTGCGCCATTTGGGCTTTCGGTGGAGCTCTCCATGGGGCCACGGAACGTATGAAGGGTGTTCCAGCGATCATGATGGCGATGATGGTGATGATGACGTGCCGTCGATGCTTGTGTGCTGCTGCTGCTGGTGCCGCCGCCGCCGCCGCCGCCGCCGCCGATGATGATGATGATGATGATGATGATGATGATGATGATGATGATGACGATGAATGATGCTGATGCTGATGCTGATGCTGATGCTGCTGATGATGATGATGATGATGATGATGATGATGATGGTGATGGTGATGGTGATGGTGATGGTGATGGCGATGATGATGGTGGTGGTGTTGACGATGATGATGATGCTGGTTATGATGATGATGGCTGATGATGATGCTGATGATGATGATACTGATGGTGCTGCTGAAAAATGATGTGGATGCGGATGATGATGCTGAGCATGATGCTGGTGATGATGATGATGATGATGATGATGATGATGCTGACCATGTATGTGATGATGCGGCTGCTGATGATGATGATGGTGACGATGATGGTGATTATGTTACTGCTGATGATGATGATATGATGGCGGTGCTGATGATGTGAAAACAATGACGATGCCAGTGACGGTGACGACGATGCTGATGATGATGATGATGATGATGATGATGATGATGAGGATGCTGATGCTGATGATGACGCTGCTGGTCATGTTGTTGATGTTGATCATGATGCAGCTGCTTCTGATGATGATGCTGGTGGTGATGATGACGATGCTGATAATGCTGCTGCTGCGGCAACTGTTGATGATGCTGCTGCTGATGCTGCTGATGCGGATGACGATGATTGTGACAATGCTGATTGCACTGATGATAATGATGATGATGCTTATGATGTTGATGCTGGTGACGATGATGGTTATGATGGTGGTGATGATAAGGGCACTGCTGATGATGCTAATGCTGACGATACGGACTCTGCTGATGCTTACGATGATGATGATGATGATGATGATGCTGACTATTTGGATGATGCTGATGACGATGATGACGATGATGATGACGATGCTGATGATGACGATCATGACGGCGACGACAACGACGACGATGATAATGCTGATGATGATTCTGATCATGACAATGGTGATGCTGATGCTGATAATGCTGCTGATGATGATGCTGCTGATTCTGACAATGATGATGCTGCTGATGATGATGATGATGACGGTGGTGGGGGTGGTCGTGCTGCCGATGATGATGATGATGCTGATGATGCTGATCATGATGATTGATGGTGATGATGATGCTGCTGATGATGCTGCTGCTGCTGATGAGGATGATTATGATGATGATGCTGATGAAGATGATGATGATGATGATGATGATGATGATGATGATGATGATGATGATGGTGATGATGATGGTGATGATAAGGATGATGCTGTTGATGATGATGCTGATGATGATGATGATGATGATGATGATGATGATGATGATGATGATGCTGATGCTGATGATGATGATGATGACGACGCCGGTGACGACGACGGTCGAGGCTCAAGAGACGGGTGTCTTTGCAAGCGGGGTCAGCCAGAGCGCCCGATCTTGCAGGATCCTGCAGGGCCAGGGTCGCATTGACCAGGGTTTAGGTTCATTATCCTGCAGGATCTTGCATGATCTTTCGCATTGACCCGGGTTTGGGTGCAGGATCTTGCAGGATTCTGCAAGGCCTGACTGACCCGAGTCTGGATTGACCTTGGTCAGAAGATCCCCGAGACGACGATGATGATGCTGCTGATGATGATGATGATGATGATGATGATGATGATGATGATGATGCTGATGACGATGATGTTGATGCTGATGCTGATGCTGCTGATGATGATGATGATGATGATGCTGATGACGATGATGCTGATGCTGCTGCTGCTGCTGATGATGATGATGATGATGGTAGTGATGATAGTGATGATGCTGATGATGATGCTGCTGCTGCTGCTGCTGCTGATGATGATGATGATGATGATGATGATGATGATGATGATGAGCAGGAGAAAGATGAGGAGGAGGCGAAGGAGGAGGCGAAGGAGGAGTAGGAGGAGGAGGCACGAAAGGAGGAAGGGGAAGGCGAGGAGTGGAGTGGAGTGGAGAGGAGAGGAGAGGAGAGGAGAGGAGAAGAGAGAAGAGGAGACGATTGTGGAGGAGGGAGGAGTCGGAGGAGGCGGAGGAGGAACGCTGGGCGCTGTCTCTTCAAAACGAGAACTAAGCACCACGAGATGGTTGGGAAACACAGGGGAGGTGAGGGGGTGGGGGCTGGGATTGCAGCCACGACGTTGGCACTAAGCCGAGGCAGGCAACACCAGAGGGGAGTAGAGATGTGGGAGCGTCGGGATACAGATGCTTCAGGTCTCTGGCGTCGATGGGGCACCGGCGTGGAGCGCGCAGAGGGGACGGCGCTAGCACCGCCGATGACTCGCAG